AGATGAACAAGAGCCGACACGCGAACGCGGGATCTGCAATGGCCCGCGACCGAGGAAGCCCTGGTCGATTTGGATCGGACAGGTTCCTCTAATTAAGTGGGGGGGTTTATCACGGTTGGAGGGAGCATCCGGCTTTTGGAGGGCGTGCCTTGATTTTTCAAGGGGATCAATCAAGTTGGAGCCGGTGTAGCGACACGTTTGGGCCAGGGTTCATTTCCCTTAGGGAGAAGTTGGACCCCAGGACTGACATCCCACCTCCCCGAAATGGAAGCAGGTGCATTCCGCACTTCCAGGGCCAACGTTGTCTCCTTGGCTTTGTGGAAGTGGGTTTGTTTTTGGAAGGGTTCAACGTGGTATGGGTGTTAAAGCTCGTGAAGATGGAACGATGATTATTAAGATCCACTTCTTTTGTGTCTTATCTTGTTTACTTTTAATATTTATTGTTTATTGTTTTCACATTATTCAGGGAGCTCTTAATGTATCAGGTTTGGATTCAGGGAGTGTCAGGCAGAAACAAAACAGCTTGAAAACCCGGATGTGCTGAGAGGTGCCCGCCAGCCAAAGATTCAAAACCGCCCGAATTTGTGCGAGACAGTGAGAACCACTCTGTTTGCGCGATCCCCCGTGCAGGGCCGCCAAGAATAATCTTCCCATTCCTCCTCTGCCCATTCTCTTTTGCTTGTATGTTAAGGTGCGGATGATGGTCAAGAGAAGGGCATGAAAAAAAAAAGAAACAGGAACATGAACATAGCGTAAGGACAGCATAGTGAGATATAAGAACAAATGCAAGAATGCTAGCACAAGTCAATAAGCTCAATGATACAAAGTGAAGGAACATACATCTATTGTTCTCATGGTGAACATGTTTTGTATATTGCAAATGAAATCTCATTTACAATCATATTCTTGCCCTCTGGTCATAGACTAGTTGTCAGTCTTGGTTTCTATTAGATATCATGAACTACTATTTTATTACAGGTTGTCTCTGGAATGTTGTTGGGTTTCCATGTCATCTTTTGTTTGTATCCCCTGTTACGGCCCCTGCTTAATCCCAGACATGCTCTTGTGGATGGTGTTTACGTTATCTTCCTCGCAATGTCTAGAAATGGGCGGTGGAATTTCGGAAGCCGAGTTGTCAGCTGAGCCACAATCAAAACCCGAGTAGATGAAGTTTAGCAAGGCACAATCCCAACCATGAAGAGCTGCGGATATCCGCCTTCTTGATTCTTTACATTCTGGGATTACGACCGTTTTAATACCTTTCATCTTGGTGGTCCCAGCCATCTGGCTCCTTAGCTGCCTTAGCTTTTTAGCCTCTTAGTGTTTGGTGGTAGTTTCCGACTTTAACCCACTAAAAGTTTTCAACCGGGTTTTGGTTATGACTCAGCTCACTCTCCGCTGAGGTGGCCAAAGACACCCCGGAGGCGACCCTGCAGGAACATGACGGCCACGAGGGCCATCCGCTTAGGCGCGAGGGCTACCCCCACGACGAGTGAAACCCAGGGGTGGCTCATGTAGCCCAAAAAGGGCCCCCTGCGTTTAAGTCTAGTTGCAGCTAGTCAAAAAACAGAACGATTGGCTGAGTTCCAAAAAGCAGAATGATCCATCTTTTTTGTCACTTCCTGAGTTCCGGACATCAGATAAACTTTACGGGCAGACCATTTTAGTGTTAAGCAAAAACAAAAAAGGGACTTCTTCTTTTGGCCACAACGCTCACCACTCGATCGGAAGTGGGTTCTGGAGCCGATTCAACCGGGAATCCACTCCAAAGGTGTAAGCAAGTACCAATGGAGGCCGTTGGCAAACATTGGACCCGAGTCCTCTGTTTGCCATGCAAACAATCCGGTGGAACTCTCAAGAAGACCTAGGATGACGCACAGAGAAGCAACATAAACCGTAAACCAAAAAATCAATTTGTTTGGAGCAGGGCAATACACATGCCCACTCACTTCCCCAATGTCCTTGTATTTGTTTCTGGGGAGTGGACGCAGAGGGAAACACATAGTTTGAACTTATTCCGGGCTTTGCCACGCACCCGTGTGTGTGTGTGCGTGTGTAAGAAGAGCTGGAATCATCTATTGCAACCAGGAGCTAAAGCCAATGCTTGTTTGAATAAACGTTGCTCACGGCGACACGAACCCCACCAGAAGGTCCCTTAGGAACAGGGCCCCGCTGATTGTAGCCCTTCCAGTGCTTTCAGTTGCGATGTTGCCTCTAACTAACTAGGCTTACATGATGGTGAAATCTTGTCATCTCCTGAAAGCAACGTGTGCTGTGGCTAAACATCACCTAGCTGGAAGCACGTCTTACAGGGACCTGCTGTCAGGTTCCATGAAATTTTCAACCAGCGGGGCCATGTACGCACCCAGGTCCGAAATCAATCAGACCAATGAAAGTTTTGGACCCGGGAGGGTGCTCTTGGGTCCTATCCGGCCAAATGTTCGCCAGGAAGCGCATGGGCAAGCGGCCGCCGCAGCCCTCACCGGGCCGCAGGGCGGATGTGGGGCCGCCCGGAATTCGGTGGATGGTGTGTATCTGTAGGTGGTGACTAGGTAAGTAGGTAGGTTTGTAGGTAGGAAGGAGGGAAAAGGCGATGCGTGGCATGGTTCCCGGCCTGAAATCTACAAAGCACAACCCTTCAAAGACCCGCAACACTCTGGGCTTACACTCCCAGCAACAACCATCCATTGTCGGCATGCTTCTTATGCCTTCATTACAAGCCAAAGCCAAAGGAGCTGCACGACCAAAGCCAAAGGAGGGGCTCAAAAGAAAAACCCTCAAGCAGTCTGAACGACTAGAAGAAAAACAGCAAGCAGGAGGGCTCTAACCCACTTCTCTGCCCCATCAGTCAGACCCGCCCACCAAGATTTTATAAAATTTCATACCAATCTCCCATATCAAAACCCATATAAGTTTCATAACACGCGCCTAACCAACCTCATAATCAAAATGTTTTAAGTTATTCATTTTATAAAATAACTTAAACCATTTCATACATCCTTAACCTCATTCTTTTCTAAATTTTCTATGTGCTTCCTTGCTCGTTCGTGCCGTGCCTTGTGCTTTAATTTAATCTCACAATCACATACAGAACAATGATATTCTCTCTGTCCGTATTCTTTGTTTATTTCTCGTATTTCTTCCTTATGGTTGTCTCGGTATGTTTTTGAATATACTATTTGCTTGTCTCTGCACTTGTCACAAGTTTTATGATTATCTGAAAATAATTCAATCTTTCTATGAACTCGGCAATGAGAACAACATTGTTTTTCCCCTTCATCTGCTACTGTTTCTTTCTTAATCGCTTCTCTTTTCAATTTCTTTATTTCTGACTTCCTTCTTTGCTTTTCACGGCATTTATCACAAGTTTTACAATTATTTGAAAATAAATTGTAATTCTTATCTCTTTGACAACCCGAGCAATGTTTCTTATCCATAATCTTCTACTATAATAAGCCATTTACCCTTTAAACCGTTTTTAGGCAAAATGCTTACCGAAGTGGGTTGAAGCCCCCTTATCCAAAAACCCCCAACAACAAAGAACATAACCAAAAACCAAACAAGGAACAGAACACAGAACATTCCAAAGCAACCAACCAACGAAACATTCCAAAGAACCCAAACATAAATCTTACAATGTTTTTATTGTAAGATTTATGGGTTAGTTCAATTACACTGGTTCATCAACAATTAGTTTAAACCTTATGTTTTGTACTCCTTCAAAATTCATTCTACTTCTTTCATCATCAATACAACTGTATATTGTTTGATGCGCCGCTCTCATTACATCGGCTATATTATCTATGGTTATATTATCTACAACATCATCACTATGAAAATGAAAACTAAAAGTGTTAAAATGGTCGTCTTCATAATAATTGAAATGATGAAACCTTACAAACATATTTACCTCAACTATTATCACTGCTTCATAACCGTTATCGGTTTCAATGTCATCTAACAAACAATCTAAGTTTTCATGTTCATTAAAAAGTATATTTTCAATGCTTTTAATGCTTAAAGGTATATTTCTTGAAATGTAATACTTAATTACGTGTCTCTTTATATCATAACTATCTTCAACTGTATAGTGCTTTGTCTTTATTTTTGTTTCAGTTCTGTTAATTCTGTATCTTCTTTGTATTCTCTTTAATGCTTCATTATGATTATGCGTTATTCTCATATATTCTGGCTTACCATATTTATAGGACATAATATTATTAATAACGTCAACAGGTAATTTATTAATTTCCATTTCACTAATATATATAGGCAATATGTCTTTAAACCCCTTTTAGTCTAAAACTATAATTTTAACATTTCATGTCTCAATAATAATTTGGATAATCACTAACAGAATAATATTTCTGACCGAGTTTTTCCTCTATCCTTTCCACCGTATGGGCTGATTTTAACCAGTGTGAAGTTTGTTGCTTTTCTGCTATTCCCTTTTTCCTTCTGATTTTAACTTTATCCCCCACCTCTATATTTGGATATATGCGGGAATGTTTTGCTTTCATTGATATATTCAGTTTTACTTCAAATTCATTCTTTTTGAGTTTTGCTTGTGCTGGTGTAAAACCGGTTGTTGAATGGACTAATTTATTATTATAAGTTAATAGAATTTCAAATATGTAGTCGCGCCAATCAATATCCTTTTTTCCTTTGTTTTCATCTGCTTCAACTCTTTTATACAACATATTCTTGAATGTTTTAATTGCTACTTCGCTAAACGCCGCGTGATTTCTTGTTGTGTAATGTTCTACGCCCTTTTCTTTTAAGTAATCTTGTATATATTTTGTATTTAATGCGCTTTCATCATCTGTAAGTAATAATTTACAAAATCCGCCCATTTTTTTAAATCCTTCAACCAGTGCCATTGCTACATCACCTTCACTTTTGCTTTGAATAGGTATTACAGTCATTGCCTTACTGAAAATATCTATCATTAAAGCACCGACCTTCATTTTCTGGTTGGGAATGTCATTTATGAAGAACAAATCAAACTGAAACTCATAAAATGCTTCTTTTGGCACAAATGAATTCTGCCCTCTTGGTTTTGATTTGATTTCTATGTTGTTTTTGAAAAAATCGTCTATATCAGCTTTGGTTATTGACTTATCTTTTTCTCTACTTTCTTGAAGCGTCCGGCTTTTAGACCCTTAACCTGCTTTATCATAATAAACACTTGCTATAAGTTCTTGTTTAGATGGCATATAAATAAACAAGAAATTATATTAATCTAATTCCTCTAACTGTTGCTCTTGTTGTTGTTCTTCTTGTTGCTTTAACCATTCTTGGTGTTTCTTTGTTTTCTCGTGTTCCTTTCTGCCATCTGCTCTTAATGTAGCACCGCAACTACAAATGTATGGCACTGCCTTTTTTTCTAATAATGTGTCTTTGTGATGCTCATAATACGCTTTATGTGCTTGTGATAGTCTTTCTTTGTTGCTTTTGTAATACTCCATCGTTTTTTTTATTGTGTTCTATTTTGTTTGCTTTATAATAGTTTTTGTATTGTTCTTTGATTTTGTCCTTGTTATTTTCTCGGTATTCCTTCTTCTTTGCTTTGATGTGTTCTTTATTATTGTCTCTGTATTTCTTTTTTGTTTCTGCTATTGTGTCCTTGTTTGCTTCCCTATATGCCTTCGCTACTTCTGGATGTTCAGCATGGTATTTCTTGCTTCTTTCACTTTCACGCTCTTTATTTTGTTCCCTATATTCCTTATCTGTCCTCCCTTCAATTCTTTTATTTACACATTCATTATTTAGAATATGGTGTCCCTCTCTTCTGTGTAATTCCATTTGATTATTACACGGGTATTCTTCAATAAGTTCTATTTTACAGTTCTCAACTCCAAACTCTTCAAACAAGCGATTACAACTTCTATTACTTTCTTTGCCTCTTGAAATGTGTTGTTTATACATGTATCTATGCCTTGCCAACCGTTGACTTAACTCTTCACAAGTAGAGCCGATATAGCATTTAGAATAATCAGCACTGACTATCTTATAGATTTTACCATTTTGATATTTATTATCCATCCCTATTTATCTTAATCTATCTTTTCTTTAAACATATTTTCAAGTATATCTATAAAATCTAACTTTGTTTAAATCAGTAGCACGGGTCAAACTAACATAAAACCACTCTCTGCTTACATAGGATTTATTCCAATCATATACAATAATATCATCATCAACACTACACCCTTGACAAGAATGAGCTGTATAACAATAACTGTAAATAAACCTGTCCCTCAATATGTTTATTGCTATGCTCTGTTCTTCCAATGTTTTAACATTTTGTAGATGGATAATTTCATCGTCAATCTTGGTAATTCTGTATCTGATATTTACATTAAATGTAAATTTACCAACTTTAAAATACTCTTTGCAAATAACAATGTCATCAACTTCATACTCATTTTCTTTGTTTAACAATTTACGGATTTTATCAGAAACATATTTACAAGTTTTATTTTCGTAAGAAATGTTGTTATAACAAATTTCAATTTCATCAACATATTTGAAATACTTTTCTATTATGTTTTTATATGGCAGTTTGTTAATAAAAATGTCATCTTTAATATTTTTCAATTTCAATTTGTCTTCTTCTGTCTTCAATCTTTTACATTCTTTCAAGAATATTTCATATTTAAACATAACCTTAACATATTCATCAGCGCATTCTTCAAATGTCCTTATGTTTGAAAGTGGCTCTAACGTTGGCAGTTGGTTAGTATCACCAGTAGCAATTATGATTTTATCTTTTTTGTTTTCATTAATGAAAGTATTGATTCTTGATAATATTCTTGGAGGGTTAAAATATATTTCATCGAAACAAATAACATCATAGGCACTATAATCAAATGTCGGTAGTGCTTCGCCTTCATCAACAGCAATTGAAAAGAACTTATTTACTGTGGCACTGTCGCAATCGCAATTTTGCCCTAAATGATTCGTCCCGACTACAAACAATACATTTTTACCAAGTTTTGTAAAGTATTTTGCTATATATGATTTTCCGCTTCCTCCGTATTTTGCTTTAATCATCACTGGGTTTTGTTTAATAATCTTCTTACATATTTCTTCTGTATTCCATTCATCTTGAACATCAATATTGAAATTTTTGATTTTAGGTATTTCTGGAACTTCATTATATTTATATGTATATGAGTTGGTAGGTAGTTGGATATGTTTTTTATCTTCTATCCTCCAATCGCCTATCTCATTACCACATTTCAGCAGTCCATTGCTTCTTCCAAATAATTGAAAACGACAAACTTTATCTAAATCATCTTCATGAATAGTGAAGGCATCTGTTTTAACACTATACACCTTGACATTATTATCAGTCATTGTTTTGTAAGCTTCATACATTTTGAAATTATAATATTGTAATAGCAATTCTTTTATCGGCAGAAATCCGTTGGTTAAAACTTTTTTGTCAGCAACATTCAACACATAGTATGTTTCACCAACAGGAGATTCTTCTAA